GGAGAAAATTTGGCAGCGTTCACATCGAATCCAACAAAAATTTTTTGGGACGTGCCGACAATTGTTGGAGCTAGTGTTCTTGATTTAGCAAAGTTTCACATGTATAAATTTCATTATGATATCATGAAAACAAATTTTGAATGTCAACTTCTCTATTGTACGAAATAGTCTCCTGTACGAAATCAAAAGTGAAGATTTATACCGCGAAATTTCCGAAAAAAGAAACATTTTGAGTGAACTTGACCTGTCAAATTACCCGTAGAAGAACCACCCTCTCTACGATCCAAAAAACAAAATGGTTGTTTTAAAATTCAAGGAGTTCCCAGGGGACATAAAAACCGAATTGATATCCCTCAAACCCAAGCTTTATTCCATTTTGTCCAGGGGTAATCATTTTTATCTGCCTTTTTTGGCGAAAATTTTTTTGAAAAAAAATTTTTGTCGACGAAAGTTTTTTTGTGACGATCGATTTTTGATTTTTTGAAAGTTTTTAATAATGACTGACTTTAAGGTCACACTTGACCTTCATGTCACTTTTTGTTGCACCTGGACTTCAAGTTGATGTAGCAGCCACAGAAAAGAAGATTCCAACTTTTTTTTTCACCACATCAGTAGTCATCGTTAAATGGGTTAGTAATCATTTAATTATATATTTAGACTGCGGAAAACTGTCAGCCAAAGGTGTATCAAAAGCTGCTCAGAAGATGTTGACGCATCAGCGATATCGAGACACTTTGACCTCTGGCTCGTTATTCAAAACTGAAAACAGTCGATTCGCATCCGAGTCACACAATCTGCAAACTGTGACTTCGACGAAAACATCGTTATCAGCATTTGATGACAAACGCTACATCCTCGATGATGGCCAGCAGACTCTTCTCTACGGTTACAAAATCATCGTGGGTCAAACTGCGATTGGCATTGATGATAGCGATGACAACGCCGCCGCTGCAAATTCGGACCCAACTGATGATGACGATTTGGAAAAATGCATGCCAATTTTTGAAGATGGTCAACAGCCAGTGTCGTGGGTTTTTGACGTTCTCCTATATGGGGTGTCTGAAGAATTCGCTAACACTCAAAACGTTGATTGGGACCATCCGGAAAATGATGATGACTACTCTGAGGATAGTTTTGCTGTTGAAAGCATACAACCACATCGTTCGCTTCGACAATTGATGGACCAGGTCAATAGCAGTTGGCAAACTCCAGACCCCGGTCTGATTCGGGCAGCAGAAACCAACGACAGTGATATAGATAGCGGTGATATTGCCGATCTGGAGGCCAATACTTCCGACGAGGACCAGTCGTCATTCTTCAACGATTCATTTTCGATTATGAAGCAGTTGAACCACGGTCAAAAACTCGGCGAGTATAATAAAACACAAAAAAACAGTATGAACTTTTGTATAGTAAATAAAATTCAGTAATTTGATAAGAGATTTGTGTGTACAGAAAATTTGACCTACCGCTATTCCGTGTTTAGTGCGTATTTAAGTGCGAGATTTTGTTCCAGTTTTGGAACCCAGTTAATCGGGGATATATTCATTTTCAATTAAACGAAAGTGTTTCCAGCATACTTTTGTATCTAATTGTACGTAAATTGAAATTTAAGAAGAATTGAGCAAACGGGAAAAAGCGCAGTGAAACAGCAGTTGTTATTGGAAGGAAGATTTAGCAAATCCTTTCCAACATCAAATATATAAACACAACGTTCAGTGGGAATACTCAATAATATATCGAAACTTTACATGAGGACTATTAGTTATAAAATAAACTCGTGGTGACAATTTGGATTTTTACATCGTGACCATTGGTTGTCAGATAATGCATAGTGACCATTTTGATCTATACCTAATGGTCATCCATGTATGACAACCCACCCCGATCCTAATGCACTATATGCATACTACTAGTACCTGCCCACTTTGTCCAAATTTTTGCGATTACAGATTAATTTCAATCTGAATTGTTCTAACTAAAAACAGGAACCTCAATGCTTAGCAAAGTTCACTTACCAAATTGATACAAGCTTTAAAATAACTTAAAACATTTCATAAGTTTTATAGCTGCAATAGTTTTAGAATTTTTTTTTGCAATTCAATTTAATTATGAAAGAGTTTGAAATAATTCAAAGTTTCGTAGCTTAAACAGCTCGCTTAGAAAATTTAGAATTTTTTGTGAACCATTTCACTCTACCAAATATTTTGAAATTTTTTTGAAAAAAACCATAGCTTGAAAAGCGTGCCTAAAAAACTTAACTTGTTTGCGAACCGATTCAACCTAGATTATTTTGAAGTATCCGGGCTTGAAAATAGTTCGCATCGAAAAACTTGAAATTTTCGCAACCGATTCTTTCTATGAATTAACTTGAAATAATTCAAAGATTGAATAGCTTTGTTGAGTCCCTTCGTGAACAGATTCTTTGTAAAAAATAATCTCATATATATAAATAATTTTCAAATCTCATAGCTGGAACACATTGAAACTAAAAACGCGTTGTTTCTTAATTTGAGTTAATTTTAGTTCATCAAAACTTGCGCTGAAACTACCGAGTCATTTAGTGACAAAGTTTGTCACTAATTGAATGTGTAGTTTCAGCGTAGTTTTTGACTGACGAACGCCATAAATATTTAAAATTTTGGGGTGAAATATTTGGCGCGAAAAACAAAATACTACTAATGCGTTAATTGTCCGTTTTCCCATTGTGGCGGGGTTAGACATCCGGAAAGTGCGTAAACAATGGTTCAGATGATGGCATTCTGAATAGCATTCAAGCTATTAAATAGAGGATACCACGTTTTTCCATGCCATTCGATCAAGGCAGTCTGTGGATATGAGGGCTAAAGTGTTCAGGTGTCGTTTAACACAGTCGATCCAGTGTTTTTAGGCCGTGCTGCTGGTCTTTCCTGGGGACTGTAATATGGTCTGTTGATTTTAGGGCATGGTCATTTTCTCTTCGGTGAACATGGCCATACCATCGTATCCACGGCCGCACTTGTAGCTTGTCCAGATCAATAACATCTGTCATTTAATTTCCTCTTTTGTTGCTAACTCTGTCTTTTTAAGTGACACCGGCTATCCTACGCAGAGTTTTCATGTCAGAAGTTGTAATAAAGCTGCATTTTGCCTGGGTCTGCACTCAGATTTCAGACAATACATCAGAACAGACCGGAGACAAGCTCCGTGGATATGACGTTTGTAATCAAGTCAATATCTTTTGCTACCATTTCGTCTTGAAAGCTGCTATTCTGACCGATGATGCACGTATTGCGTCAATTTCCACATAAGTCATATCACCCAGATAGCAAAACTCTTTGACAGTACTAAGATTTCCAAATTGATTAATCCGTAGATTAGCATTCTGGTTTGAGTAATATAATTGGAAGGATTATTGCATCTTGGACAAAGATAATCAGTTTTATGTTAAGGTATTTTCCTCAGGCTACTTCAATTTTTATGCAAGCATTGATTACAAGAAATGGCACCCATAAAATAACTTGAAAATTTTCAAAGTTTGGCAGCTTGCTCAGAAAACTTAAACTTTTCGCGAACCGATTCGTTCTTTGAATTTTTGTTCTTATCGATTTGCACTTACGATTTGCACGTACTTAGGACACCTCCATGGTTTTCTATCTCTTATTTGTGTAGAGAAAAAGTCTTCAAATCCTCTAATAACTAAAAGTGCATTCATACCTTTGATGCATTTATCAATGCACTATTGTACAATTGCAATTTTTGAGCTCAATTTTATTTATGTTAAGTTAGAAAACTTGCGCTTTCCAGTTATGACAGTTGAAATGGCGCAAAAAACTTGCACGGTTTCTTGGTTTGAAAACTTGTTTTGCACGGTTTTTTCATTTTAGCTTTATCAGGGAATAAATAAAATTCGTCATGAACGTAGAGATTACTCTTATATATTTTTCTTGGTTTGACTTTTCATTTCTTTTTAAGTTGTTTTCATCTTCTAGTTAAAAGGAAGGCCAACTCCACTATCGAACAGCAAAAATGTGATTGTCACGAAAAACGTGATCGACTTCTAGTTTGGAAAGTTAATCTTAATTTGTAGATTTTGCGTTGAATTGGAAAATTTACTTATTAAGCCAGTTTCTCTAATTAGGTAAATTTTATCACAAAAGGACAATGATAAATTGTTCTTCAAGTTTGAAGAGGCTGGTGGCCATTAATTATTTCTTTGAAATTCGAAAGATGATATTTTTTCAACTCACTTAAGTGGGGGTGAAAAACGTAAATGATAGTTTTAAAATAGATTTTTTTTAAGTTCACCAGCGGAACAGATCTTATCTATTGATAGTTTTCTGATTGGGTTAGAACTATCAATAAAGAATCAGTCGGAAAATATTCTTGAAATTGAAAGCGCTAAAGAGTAGCCGTCAACTGATGTATGTTGGTTTGTTTGGGATGTATTTTTTAGGAAAAGTATTAAAATTTGTTCTGGCAAATTTACTTTTTCGAGGTTTGACTTCTAGATTTCTCGAAAGTGGAATTTAATTGTCTGACTTCCCAGCAAAATTACAAATTTACTTATTGATCCAGTTTTCTCAAATTTGGTTTTTTATAAAATGGTCAATTTTAAATTGTTCTGGAAATTAAAAGAGCGTTAAGGCTATCTTTTTTTGGGATAAGTTGAGATTTATAGTTTTTTTTTTCAAAAAACAAGTCAGTATGTTTTTCTGTTATTTAGCAATTCAAGCTACAATTCAAATTCATTTGCTAAAAGGTAAATTACGCTCCGCGATATCCAATGTGCAAATGGATAGAAAAAGCGTAACTGACTTAATTTCATATGTGGATTTAATTTTAAGACATGCCAGCGCTATAAAAAACTACCTATCTATCTCGTTTTGGTTTGAAAAGCGGTTGGTTTTTTAAAATCGTGTCTATCATTGAAGGTTTTTGAATCTCAAATCTGAAATCTGCAAAACAAATAATTAAGAAATTCCGAATAATGTGACTGACTTGCGTGAGGGCTTGTTTAGAACAAACTGCGAAGACAGATGGTCGGTATAAGATGCAATATTCCAACATTTCTGTCAATCAGTTGTTTGCAAAGGAAACAAATGTGAACAGCATGCCGGAATTATCCTCATCACAAAAACCTCACCAGCCTGCACATCAAGCTAAATTTGCCCCTAATGGAGTTGCTGCTGTCATTGGTTCAAAACCCACAGCAACCAACTCCGCGTCAGCTGCCGCTCTAAACAACAAAGCCCAAAATTCCCAGCCGCACTTCGGCCAATCTTTCCCACATAAACAACCCGTGCAGACCCAACTACAACACTTTATAAAAGACTTGCATAGTTCCCAAGATCAAAAATTACAGCAAACAGGTGAAAAGATACAAACTAGCTCAGAAAACATTGGGCCTAATGGTGACGGTATCTCTCCTGAGTTGTCAATGGATCATAAAAAGTCAAACAGCATCTGCATCCCCCAACCAGTTCTCAAAGAGAGCGTTGTCTCCGGCAACAGCAGTAACACCAGTTCATATCAAAGCCACCGCTTAAATGAGGGAGACAGCAGCAGTGGCACAACTGAGGACTTGTTTGATGACCAGTTTGCCGCAATTACCAAGGTTAGTGCGCATGACCTCTTACTTGGACAGTATTCTCAAACGAAGGGAGTGGCGGAAATATATACAGTGCTGATTTAAATTATCCGGAAAAAACGAAAAAGTGAACAGAAGTTAATTTAAATTTTTACCAGAAATGTCAAGGTCCAATTTGTATAAGTCGCGATGATTTTTTTCGTTTTCAGGAAAAGTCTTTCAACATTTGTTCAGGCCCAAGTTTACTTTTTCGCGGTTTGACTTTTGATTTCTTCTTCAGTTCAGTTCATTTCCTTTGTTAAAAGGAAGGCAAATTCCACTTTTGAGCAGAATAGGATAAAGGTCACGAAAAGCATGATCGATTCATACTTTCGAAAATGGAATTTAATTTTCAGATTTCCCAGCGAAATAAAAAAATTACCTTTTGATCCAGTTTTCTCAAATTGAGTTTACTTTATCGAAAAAGTACCAATCATTAATTGCTCCAGAAATTCAAAGAGTTTTATGAACAGCTATTTTTTCTGTGGCGTTTGAATTTGGAGATTTTTCCAAAAAGAAAAAATAGAATTTTTTTTTCTGTTGAATTGCGTTCATTGACTCTTTTCCACCAGTCTGTTGGCTATGTTTTAGTTAATCAAGAATTACGCCGAACCTACCTGTCCACCATTGACACCATAAGAATGGTATACTCCCACAAAGTTTGGCACAACGTTTAAAAATTGTTTTTTAATTTAAAAAAATTGGTGTTTTATTTACTAAAGACGATCTTTTTGTCTATTAAACAAAAGTTAATTAGTTTACACAAGTTTTTGGAGCTTCCTTATGGTTTGTTGAGCTACATAAGGGGCTCACTTCGATCTGATAATATCAGTGATTGACTAGGTAGTTTCAGCGTAATTCTCGTTAAGTTAAAAACGCCAAAAAAATCAATTTTGGGTGAAATTTTGGTTCTGACTTTCGCCACACAAATTGCACCATAATGATTTTGGTAACTTGCTCTCCTCTTTTTTGCCTAATCTCAACCCAATTTGAGAAAAAAGCGTTTTGAATTTCTAATTTAATGCGTTTTGTCCGGATAATTCAAATCAGGACCAATGTGCTTGTTCTTTTTTAATTGAAAGTATCTACAAAATATTTTTTTTCTTTTGAAAGTATCCAAAATATGGGCTCGAAGTTTTTAACAGTGCTATTAATTTAATGTCATTATATTATATTTAAGAGTCGATAAACGCAGTGAAGACTCTTATTTAGGCCGATGTTTTTTCAGGAAAACTTCATAAAGGTTGTTATGATTTTTTTTTTCATTTTCAGGAAAAGTCTTAAAATTGGTTCAGACCCAAGTTCACTTTTTTGCGGTTTGACTTTCGATTTCTTCTTAACTTCAGTTCATTTCCTTTGTTAAAGCGAAGGAAAATTCCGCTGTTGAGCAGAAAAGAGTAAAGGTCACGAACAACGTGATGGTCTTCTACTTTCGAAAATGGAATTTAATTTTCAGATTTTTCAGCGAAATAAAAACATTATCTATTAATCAAGTTTTCTCAAATTGAGTTTATTTCATCGAAAAAGTACCAATCAGTTATTATTCAAGAGATTCAAAAAGCTTTAAGAGCATCTACATTTTCTTGGAATTTTAAAAGATGAGTTTTTGTTTTAAAAAAGGTCGTTATTTTTTTTCTGTTTGATTGCGTTCAATGTCTCTTTTCCAACTTTTTGATGGCAAAACCGTTAAGGCCACAAAAAATGTGAGCGACCTCTAATTTCGATTTTGATTTTCAGAATTATCAGCGGAATAAAATCCTATTTTTTCAGCTATTGATCCATTTTAATTTTCAGATTTATCAGGGGAATAAAATCCTAGTGATATAGCTATTGATCTTTTACATTTTGATCCAATTTTCTGAACTTGGGTCTATGTTATCAAAAATGTGTCAAACATAAATTGTTTTGAAATTGAACGACCTTAAGGTGATATAATTTTTGCTTTGAACTTTGAAGTTTCAACAAAACGAGTCAGTTTTTTCCTGTGTCCTTTTCCATCATTGACACTTCTCCGACTCTCTGTTGCCTATGTTAGATGTGTTGTAGGAGTCGATCCAGGCACTGCAACTTATGGCGCCAAGTCACTTTTTGAGCGATGAGGACGAAGGGAACAGTAGCTGCTCTGCTTTGTCAGAGTCGCCGGATAGCCCACACCAGTTCTCCTCATCAACCGGCCATGCCGAAGAAGCGATGGTGTCGAACCATCTCATGAATAAAAATAACCCACACAGAATGTCAGACGTTGTCTTCCGTGACAAGGCGGCGGCTCAATTGCACTCGACCAGTGCCCAGGTCCATTCGACTCAGCAACCCTTTTTCAACCCGATGGGCCCAACTAGTGGCATGTATGTGGCAGGTATGAGAGAGCAGACGGACTGCAGTGAAAAGCACATGCACAACCAGAACAACAACGCGTCTACCACTGCATTAACTCATAATTCACATACGAGCCATCCGCATACAGAAAATGTGAATCGCTTTCTCTTTCCTATTTCGAGGGGGCTGCAAATGAATGGGCAGCGGGATACCAGGCGCTATAAGTCGGAAGAAGAACAGTTCGTTCTCACTAAAGATCAGATGAAAAATGCTATGCTATATCTGGTCGAAAACGACGAAGCTTTTCAGCAAAAGTTATACGATGCTTATCTGTCAAGCATGGGACAGCAGCAGTAATGCGTTTTTCCCTTAAAATAACTTGGCAGAGTCAAAAACTCGTCGATTCAACTAGGAATAAGTGACGAGGATCTGCTGGTCTGTTGCTGTCTCGACTGGCGTGACATCACTGAAGGAACCTTGACGTAATTTGAAAGCGCAGTAGCCTCTAGGAATGAAAGGCTGCTGCAATAGTTTAGTTTAAACAACCCTACTACTCGACTGAAGAAAACTAAAAACTGTGAATTGTTTGCTATCCTAACTGATGACTCTACTTATTACATTACACGTCTTCATATTTCACATTTTACTCAACTGTGATGATGCATCTATAAATTTGTTTGTTGAATAGATTCCATATGTTGATCCATTGAGCCGTAATAATCCACCAATGAAATAACTATGTTGGAGAGTTGCCATTTTCTGGGAATTTTAACAGTCCTCTAAGACATTAATTCATTAAACCGAAAAAACGTCCCTCAGAAACAGGTTCTCTTGCATTGGTTGTAACATTATGCGCTACATGCGAAGCAGCCAGGTGTTCCTAATGTGATTCAAAATGGATTTGAACGTTGCCTTGCATCTGTTACTGATTCGAATTTCTTGCAATATATAATTAGTTAAATAGACCAACATGTAGCTCGAAGAATGAGTTGAACCGAAGGTTAATTGAACGAAATTCTCAAACTTTTGCCCTATCGTTATCACATAGCCTTTGAATGAGACGTGGTCATACATTGCATTATCTACTACTAGTAGTTTTCTGAGTAATTTCGTTTTTTATTACCGGCTTCAAATCGTTCGTTTTTATGCACCAAACCACCACTGCTCACCTACTACATGAAGTTCAATTACTAAATATCACTATTTTCTTAACATTTCTTTTTTCTCCTTGGTCAGCTCGTGCTTAAATGTCCTCAATTCAGATTTCGGCGTTTCTGCACTGACGTTGACTTGGTGCTAAACATTCATTCAGTTCTTGTTTATGTTGTTAGTTTTTCACACATTACCATCTCTTGATCCTTTGTTTTCTCTCATTTAATGATTGGTCGCATTCCAGTCGCATGCCATCCTCTCCCCCTCTTTTCTCCATCCCCTCACCCTCCCTCAAAGCATATTGAAGCAGGCCCGCGAAGCTTTTCTTCGACCGCCAGTACATGTAGTTCAACATAGAGTGCAAGTTACCTGCAGTTTCCCATTGATGTCTATTGATTTAACTTAGTTCACTATGCCACCATTTCTTCAATGAATTCAGAAAATGAACTCAGAAAATTTGCCTTCACAGTGGTTCATAAAAAACCGTATAATTATTCTAAACGATGTCGAATAGAATCATTGAAGTCAATGTTCTTTTGCTGATTATTTGAACTGCTTAATAAATTTGCGATAGATAAATTGAGGTCTTATTCTGTTCAAGGTGTACGTCTGGTTTTACGTGTTTTATTTCGATTTGGATTGTTCTTATGACCTGTTAGAAAGAGGTATGACCTATTTTGCAGAGATCTTAGATGATTATATTCGTGATAGGATATTCTGAAAAAATTTAAACGCCAGATGCACCACGTGTACCACTGTCGTTCAGTAGTGTCTGTTATTTTTATCTCAAACGGCAGGACAGTTGGTTTGTCAGTTTACATTTCAGGCAACAATTGAAATCAAATCCATTTTGTCATTTACTCTCCATGTGAAAGTAGATAAAACTAAAACGTCCATAAAAAGTGACCTACAGTATTGTGCTGTTGATTGTACTTCACGAATTATTTCCCTATTTAACAGTGTTAGGTACAATGTTGATACGAAAAGAAAACAATTGAAAATTGTTTCTAGTAAATTACGTTTTACCCAAGCTATCTTTGTAAAATTTTAATCAAAAAAAATGTTCCTATACAAAATTATGGGTTAAGGCGTGACAAACATTAAAAAAAAAGAAAAAATCTTAAAAACAAAAAAATGTATGGATGATGATGAAAATGATGAAGTTTGATGTTTGATTTATTTGAATGAATCTTTTGTTTTATTTGATGGTATTGTAGTTTGCATATTGTACAATAACGTTACCTACAACATATTCCGATATTGCGAATATCTTCTATGTTGATAAGTGAGTGTTAAGTGCAGTAAGTTGATGCGTCCCGTCTCAAAGATTCAACTCATCTCACTAGTCGTGTGCTTACTGGAGGCGTCTTTTCTGATTCTAGAACTTTTCGCGGTTAAGAGATGACGACAAAAGAAGTGCATAAGTTTGTTGGAGAAATGAAACCAAGTATTTGCAACAAAGTATGAAAAATAAAAGCTTGAAGCAGTTTCTTTTTGCTTTGCACAACCTACTATAGGCTAAGGAGTTTTTAAGTCTTAACGATCGAAGTGATTAAGTGTCTTTGAGCGTAGTGGAGACACTGATAGAGTTCGTGATAAATTTTTTAAATAAAAAAGTCTTCCGGAAGTTTACTTGGGCTCGAGTTGGAGTTTGGGAGTTTTGACGTGTTTCTTCCAAGTTCAATTCAATTTCATTTTCATTTGCTTAAAGGAAGGCAAATAACGTTCTCCGATTAATGAAGCTGAAATGGTGCAAAGCCGGTTTAAAAAATTGCCAGCAGAATAAAAAAAACGCTCTTTGATCCAGTTTTTTCCAAGTATGCTAGCTTTATGAAAATTTAGAATATTTTTATTTAAAACTTGAACCAGTGAGTTCTAAGAACTATTCTCATCTTATTCAAAAGGTTAAATTATTCTTAGCTAAGTTTCACCGCTAAAAAACTATCAAAAGTATTTGATACATGAGAATGAGTCCCGATAAAATATGAGGCTAGTTGGCGGTTCTGAGATTCGAAACTCATTGCTGAAAACACGAACAAGGGACCATACTGTCGACATTGATAGCCTAAAAGTTTCAGTGAGTGAACATTAATAGTTTCACATTTGTCATTTTCACAGGTTTTGCAATATTTTAAATTTTTCAGCAACAGTTCAGCTCGTTCTATGGGGTTCGCTGGACTCTAAAAGGAACCTGATACCAAAGATCAGACACAAGTAGTGGTCATATATATATGTTTCGGCAAAAATTCATCCATGAGGGCAACTCCAACAAACAAAAAATAATTAAAAGCTCGTTTGCCTGAAAATGGGCTAGATCATGCAGGTCACGAATTTTCCTCGAATGGGAAATCAACTCCAAAGGCGCTCTGAGGTTGTTCACATAATTATTGATTATTTTTTTCTGCTGAATACTCATCTTTGAAAGGTGGAATTGAAGAAGATTTGCTTAGACCCCGAGCAAAACAGTGCATGTAGTTGACACCTGCCGCCAGGGGAAGGCCTTGAACTACTTGCGAGAAAAAAAAACTTTTTCTTTTGACCCCAACAACATTAAAAGTTTGTTTCCCGCTGTTTAGGTGCTCAGCTAACTTTTAATGAAAAAAATTTGTCATTAGTTTCGGGAGTGCGATACTGAAAAATCTGATCATGTGGACAATAACTGTGGGACTTTCCAATAGTTTTTCCATTGGCTGTGCATAAATTACAACCGCAATATCCATTAGTTTTGAACATGATCAACACTCTTGCTTTCGCGGGGATATCGGCAACGATGGCGAAACATTTAAATTATACATGGTATTTTTCTATTGAAAAAAATTGGTTCAGTTCTGCTTTCAAATGATTAGTTATTAACTGCCACGGTTGTTTTTTTTTGATCCACAAACAATGCCGAAAGGATTGTGTTTTTACGATTAAACCGCAGTTTGGTAGGTTGTTCCGCAATGGCTAGCCAGACTGGCCAAAGCTCACTGTCGGTACTAGAGTCTGATACACAAACACCGTCGGTAGATAAAACTAGATGAATAGTAAGTTTTTTTGGCATGATCTGTTGATGGTACTTTTTCTTCTGAAGAAACCTCTGTAATTGAACGTAGAACGACGTTGATTTGAGTATGAAATAATCAATTCCAAATTTCTGCTAACGATCTGAGCTAGATCAAAACTGAAAGACATCACATAAAGATAGCCTGCAACGACCTCTGTATCAATTCTAGTGTTCAACCCGAAACTTCTTTTCACATCTTAAATGAATGCATAGTTTGAAGGCATGCAGTTTCCATCCACAATTGTGTCGAAAAAATTATGCAAATCTGAAGCATCTCTATCAGAAAGATTATTGCTCAGGCAGAAAGACTTCATAGCCAAAATGGTATTATGGAGACCTGCTTGAGAATGTGGGCTTAACCTTAGAGATTGAGGTAATGAAGTTTCTTCTACAGAAGGTAGCATTTGATTAGCTTCGAACTCTTCATCAGGAATTGTCGAAACTGATATATTTGGAAACGATTTATCAAGATCGATGTTTTTCGGCGAGGAAGTACGCGCCCTATATTCATCTTGGTTCGGCTATTCGAAATGAGCCTCTTCTGAATTTCGGCTGAATTTTTCTGTTGGAATGTTTTCGCTGGAAGAACTGGTTTCCAGCCTTTGAGAAGACTGTAGATGCTTGGACTCAAAATAGGCCCATTTTTCACTCAATTTTAGTGTACGTTTTTTCTTTTTGGCTGTTTGCAAATGGCTACAGAAACTCGCTGCTTGAGAGAAATCACCTATAGTAAACGCCAAGAAGTCATATGCAACTTCAATTATTATGTCTACCAGCAAAAAATTGAATAAAAACAAAATGCAATCAGAAGTCGACTGATCGATGTAATTTACATTTTGAATAATTATATTTTCAGCGCTTTACTTCAAGACATTCTTGATGGATCTTGCATGGAAGGAGTTGCAGAACAAGTTAAACATTTACACTCATTCTCTGCAAAAAATTGCTACTGCACTTAACTAAAATTTCGTCTCCATGATTTATGCGCCGGATAGTTTCAATTCGCACAACTGGAACCTGATCTAAACTACATTTTATGATTGGATAAATTAGATATTTTACCAATGTAAAGTATTTAATATTAACCAATCATGATCCATCTAACTAACAATCCACTTATTTGTAAGTGCTGAAATTACTTGTAATTTCAGCACCAGAGAGATTTGAATTTAACTTAGAAATTAGTTGAACTCTCCCGAGTACTTCAGCAGCCGCAAAAAACCAGTATACCCTAGATCTATTGAGCCTAGCAGAGACTAGTTAAACAACCTGAGACTAGATAGTATAAGAGTAAGATTAGGATCGGTATTAGACTAAGAAGTTGCACGAATCTATCCGGCCGAAAATAAGATAGCGTGACGAGCAGACGGTGTACCCTATCCGAAATTACTCTATGAGTTATACCCATCGATCATAACTCATCTGGTGCGACCATAAGTCTCGAACAAGACCTTAATAGCTTAGCATTAACCAATAATAGATTAGAATTTAGACAAAACATTTACAAAATGTTATACGACAATAATTTAATCGAAATGTCTCTACGACTCAATAGATCAGAGCCAATATTCCGAACGATAACAGAACTACCCGGAATTGGAAGAAGACCTCGAACCAGAGACGACATACGACAAAGCAGAAACTTACCATATAGTTATATGATAGTTCGGCAAAAGCCAGAACAAACTTTTGTATTTAGAATACTACTAGCAATGAATTTAGATTTTCATTTGCAAACATAAAATTTTGAAGTCAATCTTCAAAATCATTTCAGGCGCTAAACAAAATTATTAATATACAATAACGATTGATAAAAAGATCTCAGATCGTTTTCCAAAATTCTGCAGTAATATACAAAACATGTTTGAAAAATATTTATTGAAAAATCAAAATAAAAATTAGTAGCATGACAATAAATGATTAGTAATTATAAATCATCCTGTTGTTCCAGCTTCATCGCCTAAACATAACAGCAATCATAAGCTCACTAATATCATAAAAATACTAAATCTATTCTTTACACAAATTTAAAACATTTTAAACTTAAATTCACTTAATTTTAAAATCAGATCATCAAGGCTTATCCTTGGATCTTAAATCATTTTCTATTTAATTAAATTTAAAACTTGATCATCAAGGCCTATCCTTGGATCAAAAAGAACAACTTTGTTCTCCCCCACCCACTAAACGAGTGTCTAACGACCTCAAACGTCGATTCACTATCCAACCCTTTCTAAAAACCCAGGACTAATAGAAATTTTTGAACAAAACTAATCATTCAAATTAGGATAAACAGTGAAGAACTTCGGTTATTCATCCTTCACTTGATCCCCCCTCTTACCAGACCCAGGATAAATCTTAGACTTAGTAAGTTTAAAATAGTATCTAACGAACTACTCGCGTTCTAATTATACCTGAACCCTGTGGATCGATTTACTATTCTCCAACCCTGAACACAATCACTACCCTTAAGTAAGATAAAGTAAGTTAACACCTTAGCTTATACTAGCCACGAGAAAGTATAAAATCATTCTTCGGAATCGATATACTTTTCTCCCCAACCCTGAACAAATAGACCCAGGTTAGGCTAACAAAAAAAATCGTAAGGACTAACAGTTTAAGCAAATAGAAATCATTTAACAACCTTTTGCATCCGTCATCCTAAACCTTATGTCATTTAAAAACCTAGGAAATAAACAAACAATCGTTTTACACAATTGTGAAATAAATAACAAAAAATACGACCTTGTAATCACACCTCATACACAAACAGTTGGATACATTAGAACAAAACGACAAACATTAAAGAGAAAAATAATAACTAAACAAAGACAAATAACACGAAAAAGATTTTCAAAAAATCGAAACGCATTTTCAGAATCAGAAACCAACAGTTTAGACGAACTTTATAAACTAAAAGAATCAATAGATAAAAATTGCCCAATTCACGATCAATTATATTTCTCTGACTCAGAAACAACTTCAAATTCATCAAAAAGAGGAAAAAGAAGAATAAAAAAGCAGTATAAACACAAACCAGTACATTTATACAATTGGAATCAACCAATTAGACACATTGATAATTACATATTAACAGTCATCGAACGAAAAAATGAGCTCAACGCACACCCCAGGTGAAGAAAGTCCAGATGATGATGATGTTTTCCCCTTTATCGTAGATGCAACCACTGATAGAGGACAGCATATATTCTGCAAAAATTTACTCTTAAATTTGTTTGAAACCGGAATCAGTCCATGTAAAACAGAGTTCCCAGATGTAAAAATCAAAAGACAAATTATCGATCACTATCTAAAAGATATATGTAACCTAACACAACAATACGGAATCTACTCCATAGAATTCAGCTCACCAAACCAGAATCACAGTAAATATATAATTCAAACAGACGACCTTGATTTAGAATTCTCAAAAGTATTCTC